CCGTACTAGTGAGGCCCGCTTCCGTGCCGCTATGCCCGATGAGTTTCTTGCCACGAACCCCCCCCCGCTCTCTCTCTACGATGACCAGTGCGGATGACGTACGTGCAGCTAAGGCCTTTCCGCTCGACACCTTGCTGCCATGTGAGTACGCCTCCCACTGATGCTTCTCTCTCAAACTCAACAACCGGCATCCTTCGTGCTTTCCGTACGTGCCACGTTCAGGCTAAACGTTACATTAGTCTGGGAATTACGTTGACTTCTCCTGCGCCGTGGTGTCACGTGCACGCTTAGCTTTATTGTTGTATCACCTGCCGAAGGACAAGCATTGCTGGTAGTCGAGGGACCTACCAGTTCCTCCTGAACACCATCAGGCACGTAGCCCCATTACGTGGCTGGAGCTATCGTGTCGCATTTGCGGCACCATATGTGATCGCGCCAATCCATTTACACCGAGCGCAACACCCTGCGTTCTCGTTTTTCTGCTCTCGTCGCGCCCTGCGATTCGATTGCACAGATGCATTTCTAGAGGGCTGATTGGCTGCGATGCCCTAAACCCAAGTCGCGAGCGTCTCAGCCGTTGTCGCCCTGCATCGCTAGGGGATTCCCCTTCTCGAGAGTGGGCCTCTCACAATTTCGCCCTTCAGTGTGGCATTTTCAGGGGCTCGAGGCTTCTCTTCCCATATTCTTGGAGAAGCCTGTCGCACAGTTGAGTGACGAATTCAAGGTTTGCTCGTTAGCTGGTTTGGCTCTCGCTACGTTTTTTGGCTTTCGCCAACCATGTTTAAGCTCATTATTCGACTTTCCCAAAAACCATGCTGACCTCGGGCTTTAAGATGCAATCTACACATGCACTTTCAGACCTTCACCTTCAGACCTAATCCTCAACTACTACCAGGCACTAAAGGTTCACATTAGTTGCTGCTTCTAGAACAGCCATCAACTGCAGGTACGGTAGATGCTTCCTTAGGTGAAGGAGCTTGTGTTGACTTCACCTGCACCTACTCTTCCAACAAAATTGCTCACTGGCACAGATTACCTTGGCATCAAACAGGTATTGTCACACTCAAATCAACAATCTAGGTGACATTGCCAAGACTTGGCCCCAGATAAATATGATTTCCACTGTAAACGTCTATACAGGTTACAGCACCATTCTGGATCCTACATCTCAATTGCTCCTGCATTGCCACTGCTCAACAACAGACGGGACGAGGGGGGCAGGACAGAAAAGATACATCCTCATTGGTTGGAAGAAGGCAGGTCACAGTTCAAAATGGTTGAAAGGTCAGATTGCCCACAGCAGCCCAAAACAAAACCATGCTGGATTGAGCGGAGGAGAAAAGACAGCAGAAGCAATCACTTACTCTCCGTATCTGGCTCGCCAGATGTTGCGTTGGCGAATCCAGCAGATGCACGCGCACAACATGACAAGGACCATGCCGCCACAAACCCCTGCACATCCAGAATTGGGGTATGCATGATGATCGAGGCGAGAATTAGTTACAAGGAAAATATTATAAAGATGCTGTAAGAAAGGCCTTTCCACCCAGAAAGACAAGGCTGTAGGGAGTGAGAAGTTGAGCAATGCACGAGCGGATAGGAAATCAGTGAGTTGCTTGACAGGAAACAGGAATGCGTGGTAGTGAGGAGGGGGTACAACAAACAATGAGGCGGGGAAAAGATAACTAGGAGGGATGAGAGAGAGGTGGACAGGATTGGATTCTGGAGGGGAACGAGCAGCCCGGGGAGGGAGGTTGGGGGCCGGAGGTTGGGGGAGGAATATGGGAAAACGACGTAAGATTCGTCGAATTAAGAATACGGGAAAAAGATCCTCGTATTTCTTGCAACTTTATTTTTTCTAATGACTATGTTTTGAACCAGTTTGGGTACATAGAGGTCCAAGGATGATTACATGCAACTTCCGCGATCCAAGAAAGGAAAACGGTTGTTGTAAGGCTACGCAAAGTGGAGCTTTTGTGCTTGAACTAGAGAAAAGCATACGTGATCTTCGTTTAGATGGATTGTAAGTGACGATTCTTACCAGCATGACGCCCACAAATTTCGACCAGTCCTTACATTTAACGTGGACACTTGAAACTGGTCCAGTCGAGACGGAATATAATAACTTATGGAGCGCCATTCAAGCCCACCTCTATGTATTAGAGATTCAACCAACTGCGAGACTGAGTCGAGCGAATCTTCGGACTCAGTCCGAGACGCGAATTTTCGGTCTCAATTGTTGGATCCTAGATGCATCTTAATTTTGATGAGATGTTCGTTCTAGACACGGAAAATGCATGGTCTCAACGCAACAGATGGTCTCAATGCATGTTAAATGCGATAAAGTTCCCACTAACGGAGACACGGGATACTATGCACAGCATGATTGTATGCATGGACTCACCAGCGACGATACCAATAATGGCCTCTGTGGAGAGATCGCCACCCTTCATCTTATCGTACGCGCCTTGGAAGTCGTACATCGTGCCGTTACCCGCAGTCACCGTATCATCAACAGCCACGGTGGCAGATTCTGTTGGAACCGTCGCGTCGACGGGAGTGGCGGCGTCAGGATCGAAATTAGCGTCGGTCGTGTCAGGAGCAAACGCAGCAGACGCGGTATCCGTCGGCTGGGCTGCATCCTCAACGGGAGGGGTATCAGTGGGAATGTCCTCCGGCGCAGTGGTGGTTTCCGGGGGAATGTCGTCCGGCGCAGTGGTGGTTTCTGAGGGGATGTCCCCCGGAGCCGGTTCGCCAGCAGGCTGTTGCTCGTCTGCGGGAGTAGTATCGTCGGGCAGGTAGGCGTCTTCCGGGGGAAGGAACGGATCTTGCGCATTTTCCCCGGGAACGGCATCCTCGCCTGGAACTGCATCGGTGGGAGCAGTTTCGCCTTCGTTGAAAGCGTTCGGGTCCGCGTATTGATCGACTGCCTCATCCGGAGGCACGCCCATGTCCTCCGGCAAGGTAGTGTCCCCTGCGGGATCAGGGTAGTCTTGATCTGGTTGCGCGTGACATACCGTCGAGCCAAGTAGGACTAGGCTAAGAACGAGAAAGAGACTGAATCGGTGGAAGGAGCGAGCCATGCCTAATGCTCGAGACGTCCCTGCTATGTTACTGCACGAGAACCCCAATGCCTCTTGAGAAAGTAGCTGTGAGGAGGGAGCAGCGGCCAACAATGCAGAAAACAAGACTATGTAGGAATTTTCTGTCACTAACGACTGATTTAGTTTCCGCGATATGCTTTGAATGACAGAATAAGGGATTGGGCTGGTTTGAATGAACCATGGACCTCGAAGTTGGTGGAGGAGATATCGAGGCTCGGCTCGAAGAAAGCGGGAACAGAACAGCCGAACCACAAGTACGTCTGGCGGGAACAAGCCTGGCAAGCACAAAGAAAAACTGGGACCACTGTTCGCAGGTCGGGGAGGAGGTGGGAGAGAGGGAAACCGCTTGGTTTGGCGCTTGCCGAAGCTGACAGCCAGGTTGCTGATTGAATGCCGAACTGCAGTCACCTGGAACCTGGGTTACGATCAAAACAGCTGCGGGATCGCCGGAAGTGCTTTGGGCTTGGCGGTAGGTGCGACTAGGTGCCACAAGGATGCAGAAAGGCGGCTTTGTGGCGAAAATTCCTCTCCCTATAGTAACGGCAAGCGCCATGGAAAGCACAGCCACAACCTGACTCCCGATATAGATTCTTTCCCTAGAGTGAACTCACATATGTGCTTGGTTCTGGCTACAGACAGTTTCGAACACTGAGTGCTCTCAAAAAGAATATGTAGTAAATAGTAAGAGAAAATCAACACCATATTGTGTGTACTCAGTGGGCGGGATTCGTTTGTGGTCGTGCTCTCTACAACCCACACAACTGTTCTACGATGCCATGTCAGGGGGCGACGAATGCTTTACGGCATGATCGAGTTCAGACCAGAGACTCGCGTTGCGTCTTCATGAAGCAAGGCGCCTTTTCTTTCAACCCAAGACCCTACGCATGCGTGGGAATCTTTATTTCAATGCGTGTGCTCGCTCAGTTCACAGCGAGCATCCGTCCCGCATTTAGACTCAGACTCGCCACCAGTCGAAGCAGGCTAGATATAGCAGCACCAGCAGCGCCACTGACAGCAGCGGTAGTGCAGGATTGCGAACCAGCAGCAAATCCGCTCGCTTTTCGTCCGATTTCGTTACGTTCGTCGTGCAGCATGCCGACCAAGGGACGAGGTTCGCGCAAGAGCAAGCACAGGGAATCTCGCAGAAGCGAATCACCGCGTGGACGAGGAGAAACGTGCGACGGCGCCAGCGGCTTAACGAATGCGGAGGCGGGGGAAGGCGGGGTGCGCGGAAGCGCGAGCAGCGCTAGCAGCGCCGGGTCAAGGACGCGGAAAATGGCAGTGGCACGCATAGTGGCGGCGTTTTACCCCAAGTTCGAGAACGAATCCGCGGATGGCGAGGTGAATCAGACTTGCAGATAGGGACTCGCACAGAGGTGACTTCTGAGAAATCTCACATGCCGTTTTACCCAAAGTTCGAGAACGAATCCGCGGATGGCGAAGTGAATCAGCGAGGGACTTGCAGATAGGGACTCACGCAGATGTGATTTCTGAAAAAAACTCATCTGTCGTTCTACCCCAAGGTCGAGAACAAATTCGCGGATGGGGAGGTGAATCAGTGAGGCGAATGCGAGATTAATTCGTGAGGCACTTGAAGATAGAGACCCACACGGAGATGACCTCTGAGGCGCCTCATAAGTCGTTGTACTCGAAGTACAGACGAATTTGCGGACGGGGAGGTGAATTCGTGAGACACTTGTGGATAGAGACTCACACAGAGGTGGAGGGAAGAGGGAGTGGCGAGGAAGCGAGCATTGGACGCGTGCTCTGTTGCATTGAGCATTGTTGACAACCGATCATTCATTGCGCTGAACTAGATGTGCCATTTCCATACCGCCTCTTTCGTTCCCCCCTTCCCGTTCCACCCCGCTCCCGTCGTGCCAGGTCCGCGGGGAGATGGAGCGGCTTGTCGACAATGGCGTTGGCGTTCTCGAGGTGAGAGCTCTGAGGCAATTTGCACCATTGATGCTGTCAAATTCATCTGCACCGTTGATGTTGACAACAAACTCATTCATGGCTGGAGGGTGAGCCATGCTTCCTTCCTTTGCCATCCAGGTTCTACCTGAACAGCGAAATCCGTGTAATTCTGACTCGCTGCTTGCAGTATGCTCAACTCTTTCCCTCCCCTCTCTCTCTCCGTCCCTCACCCCCCTCACCCCTTTGAACCCCTCTTAAAACCCCATTCTCGGGCAGGTATCAGTGAAGCACAGCGGCTCGCTCTTTCTGTGGGCGGGGGCGAGGAGAGGCGCGTATGCTAAGAACTCCTACGGCAACGAGTGAGTGACGCGTCTTGATGTGTCTTATAATTAAGAAGAAAGAGTGATTGGAAGCGTCCACACCATACCTCATCGTATTGCCTCACTGAATGCCAAGCCTGTCCCTCCTGTCCCACACACGTCCTCAGGTACTCCGTGGTGGGCCTGTGGGTACTGGGGGAGAGTTACTAGAATTGTCCATACCACATCGTATTGCCCACGCCCACTGGCTGCTATGCCTGTCCTTCCTGCCGTGCCTGTCTGTCCTGCCTTACCGCATGTCCTCAGGTACTCAGCAGTGGGCGTGTGGGTGCTGGGAGAGACTCTGCGCAACGCGTGGGGGGAGGGCGTGGTGCGGCAGAAGCAGAGGGAGCTGAGCGACTACCTGGAGGTCAGTCGGTCCCGGGGGCAATGGGGGAGGCAGCGCAGTAAGTGGTTGCTGCATCTGTTTTCGAGTCGCCTTAAGAGTCTCTTCGTGGGGGGAGGGCGTGGTGCGGCAGAAGCAGCGGGAGGTGAGCGACTACCTGGAGGTCAGTCACTCACTTCACTGGGCTGGGGTTGTGGCGGAGCCAGTGACGGAAGCTGCCACTGTATCTGTGCGCATGTGCGTGCATGTGTGTGTCTGTGTGTGCATGCATGCATGCATCGGTAATTAAATTGCTATATGAAGTGCGGAAGAAATGAAACCATGTCAGCAGCAACCAACAACCCCCCCTTTACCCGCCCTCTCTATTGCATGCACACACACGCGGCAGCGCAATCGCATGGCGGTGGGCATGGAGCTGGTCACATCGGTACTGGGGAGTCATTTCACGGGCACAGACCGCTGCAAGCCTATGCGCCAACAACCCCTCACTCGCTTTCCCCTCCCTCCCCTATGCACACACACACACACGGCAGCACCATCGCATGGCTGTAGGCATGGAGCTGGTCACATCAGTGCTGGGGGATCACGGGCAGAGACCGCTGCAGGATTATGGTGAGAACACGGCATGGCTACTGTGAGAGCGTGTGGTGCAGGATATGAGGGAAAGCAGGACGGACAGGCGTGGCAGTAAGTGGGGAAATAAGATGGTACGCGCCAGGCCCTCCCCCCACGCGTTGCGCAGCGTCTCTCCCAGCACCCACACGCCCACTGCGGAGTACCTGAGGATATGAGGGAAGGCAGGGCGGACAGGTGTGGCAGTGAGTGGGGCAATACGATGCAGTGTGGGCACAGTGGGCGTGCGGGTGCTGTCGCAGCAGGCTCTCCCCCCACGCGTTGCGCAGCGTCTCCCCCAGCACCCAAAACGCGCAGTGCGGAGTACCTGAGGATGTAGGATGAGCGTGGCAGGACGAAGAGGGAAGGCGGGACGGACAGGCGTGGTAGCGTATGAGCGGGCGGTGCAGCGCATGAGCGGGCGGTGCAGCGCATGAGCGGGCGGTGCAGCGCATGAGCGGGCGGTGCAGCGTATGAGCGGGCGGTGCAGCGTATGAGCGGGCGGTGCAGCGTATGAGCGGGCGGTGCAGCGTATGAGCATGCGGTGCTGTGCATGTGCGGGCGGTGCAGCGTATGAGCAGGCGGTGCAGCGTATGAGCGGGCGGTGCAGCGTATGAGCGGGCGGTGCAGCGTATGAGCGGGCGGTGCAGCGCATGAGCGGGCGGTGCAGCGTATGAGCGGGCGGTGCAGCGTATGAGCGGGCGGTGCAGCGTATGAGCGGGCCGTGCAGCGTATGTGCGTCCGGTGCAGCGTATGAGCGGGCGGTGCAGCGTATGAGCGTGCGGTTCAGCGTATGAGCGTGCGGTGCAGCGTATGAGCATGCGGTGCTGTGTATGTGCGTGTGGTGCAGTGGATGAGCGTGCGGTCTTGGGCCATGACATGTGTTGCATGCCACCAGTCTCGCGCACCTCCTCCTGTGTTGTCTGCCATTAGCATTCCGAATTCCTCCCCTCCCATTGGTAATAGAAATTGTTTCTGAGGCCCTCGAAATCTGACATTCCTCTCACGTTTCTACCCATGCTCGTCTCTTTCCCTCCCCCTCCCCATGCCCCATGAACACCCCTGCCAGTGGTGGTGACAGCAGTCACGGACATGTCAAGCCACCCTCCGCGCTTCCTCTCCACACCCGAGGTGCTGCGCTTCTGTCACACCTGGCGCCTGCCCTTCAACTCCTACTGGCTCTTCCACTCCACGTACGCCCCTCCCTCTTCCCTCCAAAGGTCGTTATTGCTGAAAATTGCAAACGGTACAGCAACAATGGGTAGGCAAGGCAAAGCCACGGCAATGCAGTAGCTTCTCTCTTCCCCTGTTCTCACTCCCCTCGTCTCTCTTCTCTCGTCTCTCTCCTCTTCTCCCTCCTCGCTTCTCGCCTGCGCCCTTCTCATTTCTTCCTCCACTCTCAAGTGCGCCTTCATGATTCAAGCATGCGCCCATTTCCTGTCCACCAGGCGGTCGTGCTCACAGCTGTTTGCAGCATACTCAGCGCTGAGTGAGGAGGGCACGGCGCACTCAGTAGAGGAGACGCTCACTGGAATCGCAGACGTCACCATTGCAGGTCAGCTTATCGCTCGCATACAGGCAGGCAGGCACAATGGCCATGCCCCATGCTCTGCCTTGGTCTCCCTTCAAGCGTTGAGGGAGGAGGGCACAGCCCACTCGGTTGAGCACACGCTGCAGGTCAGCCTCTTACTCGCAGACTCATGCGCACCCTCTTTCCACCTTGAATGAGGAGGGCACCGTCCGCGTTCCTTGCTGGAACGTCTTTTCCCCTTCCTTGCGGTGTTCCTCCTCCTCTGCAATGCCTTTCCCCTCTTCCCTTAGAATAGCAAAGTTACCCTTAACTCTCGCCCCCTTTCCCTTACCTGACCACGTTGCCGCGCCCCCCTTTGCCCTGCCTCAGGCACTGCGTCGCATGGGAAGCTTCAAGGAAACATCATGGAGGGGCTGGTGGCGAGGCTGGTGAGCCCCAGGAGCCTGCAGCAAGTGAGGGAGCTCAAGGCAGAGATGCTGGCCGGTGAGTGGTGGTGAGGTGAAGGTGAGGGACGGGGGTGGTGAGGTGGTCCTTTCTTTGGACATGATGCTTGGTTGCTGGTGGCGAGGCTGGTGAGCCACACGAGCCTGGAGATTCTCCTGCGCCTGGAGCTGCAGATTCTCCTGCGCCTGGAGCTGCAGATTCTCCTGCGCCTGGAGCTGCAGATTCTCCTGCGCTTTTTTCCTCTTTTAAAAAAAACACGCTTGGTTGTGATAAGGCCAGTGAGCCCCAGGAGCCTGCAGCAATCAGCACCGCCCTTCTTCTCGTCAAATCAACGTCTCCCTCCGCCTCTTATTGTTTTTTCTTGGCGCCCACACCCTTCTGTCCGCTCCTCTGCATCAGGCCCAGCGCCCAGCTATCCCGTGGGAGCAGGCACGAGATAAAAAAAGCTTTGAGGCACCTCAAAAGTCGCCCACGCTCTCCTGTCCCTTTCTTTGCGTCCCCTTTGCATCAGGCCCGGCGCCCAGCTACTCCGTGGGAGCAGGCACGAGGCTGAGAGAGCTCTTCTCTCAACACGACTCCATGCGCGAGGTGGGTGAGGGTGGGGCGATGCAGGAGGTGAGGCTTGGGGAGGAGATCAGAGAAGACGCAGTGCTAGGAATGTGGTTGCCCCAGTTCAAAGGCAACTCTTACTGCATTCTGTCAGTTGCCCCTCTTCCAATATGGCCTCAATGCCTTACACTGCTTCCTCCCTCTACCCCCCATCTCTCTGCTGCCTCATCTGTCTTTTCTCCCCCTCCCTCTTCTATCCCTCTCTTTACCCCCTTCCTCACTCCCATCCCCCAGCGCATCGCCCATCTGGTGGAGGAGGCAGGAAGGCCATGTGCAGTGAAGGGCAGTGGGGGTGGGGGGGAGGTTGTGGCGGGGGGGTATGGGAGTGGAGGCGAGGACGAAGTAGGGGACTATCTTAATGTACCTTATCAAATACACCCCCTCCACTTCCTTCCTCTCCCTCCCTCCCCCCAGCGCATCGCCCATCTGGTGGAGGAGGCAGGAGACGCCATGTGCAGTGAAGGGCAGTGGGGGGAGGGTGTGGCGGGGGGGTATGGGAGTGGAGGCGAGGACGAGGAGGGGGGCACCGTGGTCGACGGGGAGGAGAGTGAGAGTGCGGGGAAGGCGAAGCAGAGGCGGAGGGAGCAGCAGGAGGAGGAGCGGCATGTGTCTGACTGGATGAACTCGCTGCTCAGCTGCAGTGCTGCAGATGCAGAGACGAGCAAGCTGCAGGTCTGTGACTGTTGTGACACACGGTTAGGCTTGCAGGGTGGTGGTCTGTTTTACAGGCGCATCAAGAACAGGCTCGAAGGGTAGTGGTAGTGCCTTCGTCACATTGTTTTCCTCCTGCCCGTCTGTTTCCTTTTCCTCTTTTGCCCAAATCCCAACCCTTTCGACTCCATTGCTCCCCTGCCACTCCGTCTCAGGCCATGCTGCGAGCGGTGAAAGCCGAGAAGCTCAAAGTGAGGTTCAAGTCACACCCCTGGCCCCTCCCCACCTCGCCCTCTCTCCTCGCCCCTGCCCCCTCCCCTGCCCCCTCCCCTTCCATCTCCTCCACCTCCACCACCACCTCATCCTCCTCTTCTGCTCCCTCCTCCTCCTCTTCCTCACACCAGCCGACCTCAGCGCCCCTCTCTCACCATCTAATTACTGTTCACGCCTTCCAAGACGCAGCCTTCCGCAGATACCAGCAACTGATGCGGTGAGATGCAGTGATGTGGTTTGATGGTTGAAATTTCAAACCATCTTCTCTAAACCTGAAACCTTCAGAGTCCATTATTTGTCCACCAACGTGCTCCTATCCATCTTCTAGCTGTCCTGCACATCCTTCCCATCCCCTCTCCGCACTCTCACTCTCACTCTCCCTCTCACCCTCACTCTCTTGCCCGCCCTCACCCCCTTCCCTACTCTCACGCCCGCCCTCACCCACCCGCCACCGTCACACCTGCCATGCCTCCAGCAAGGACCCTAGTCTGTGGCCGCTCTACCGGGGGTTCTTCCTGGAAGCTGCGGTCGTGGAGGTGGACAAGGGCACGGGGAAGCAGTTGGTAGCTGCAACGGCTGATGCCGCCGCTGCTGCTGGTAATGATGATGATGATGATGATGATGAAGTGCGAAGCGGGCGGAAGGAGAATGCCAAGGATCTGAGACAGGAGGAGAGTGTGGAGAGTAAGGGCAGGGAGGAGGAGGAGGAGGGGGAGGAGGAGGGCGGGGATAGGAAGCAGGTGCCGCATGTGATGCTGAAGATGAAGTTCCTACCGTACAAGCTACGGACGTTTCTAATACGCAACGGACTCGGCACGCTGCTGAAGAAGGGGCGCCATGAGTACATGGCGTATGCTACCAGGTGGGGGCCGGGGGTGAGGTGCTGGTGTCTGGTATGCATGTGCCATGTGCCATGTGCATGTGCATGTGCCATGTGCATGTGCCATGTGCCATGTGCATGTGCCATGTGCCATGTGCATGTGCATGTGCCATGTGCATGCACATGGCCCCATGTGCATGGAGTGAGAGTACGCTGCTGAAGAAGGGGCGCCATGAATACATGGCGTATGCTACCAGGTGGGGGTGGGGGGACATTCATGGGGTGCATGTGGCATGTGCATGGGTTGGGACCCCGCCTCGTGCTCCCCTCATCCCTCCACCGTTTTTTCCAAGTTTTCTATTATTATTACTACTTCAAGCTTGCACAGCAACCTGCCCCCTCCTCACTCTCCAGCTGGACACCTGCTTTCCTCTTCCCCCCATCCCCCCTATCCTCACTGGCGCTGTGTGTGTGGGAGCAGGCTGCTCAAGGTGTGGGGCACGTCCCCTGCTGCCACTCACGAGATGACTGCGCTCTGCCGAGCATGGTGCGTGCACGATGCAGTGCGGTGCAATCGAGTGCGATGCAGTGCGCAGAGCATGATGCAGAGTTTGCCTTGTTTTTTTTCAAATCTCTAAAAAGCGGCGCAGCATGTTGAGCGTTGCGCGCTCGCATGTGCCCTTACCTTTCTACGGCCTTCGCACCCCGCACTGTCTCTCCCTCCAACGTTCCCCTCAACCTTGCCCCTACACCAACTCCTCCGACTTCGCCCTTCCCCTGTGTCCAGTAAGCTGTCCGCTGCCATATACCTCCTCCTTCCTCACATCCCGCCTCCATTCCGCTCTCCCCCCCCCTGTCCCTCCCAGGGCGGACTATGTGCTAGGCCCACCCTCGTCCCCCCGCCCGCCCAAGTCCGTCTCATCCAACTCCTACCTCGACTATGCCGAACCCTTTCTTGCTGCCTACGCCAAGAGGGGCGCAGCACAGGCAAAGGCAGTGGGGGCCGCATGGGAGGGGGAAGCAGGGGAGGGGAGCGAGGGGAAGAGAGGGGAGGGGAGTGAGGGGACGCGGGGGGAGGAGAGTGAGGGGGCGGCAGGGGGAGGGGAGGGGAGGGGGGAGCAGGGCAAGGGACTGCTGGTGTTTTTCCCGGGGATCCCTGGGTGTGCCAAATCCGCTCTCTCAGAAGCCCTTATGCAGATGGGTAGAGGCAGCGGGGGCGGTGGAGGCAGTGATTCAGCTGAGCAGGCACGGACTGGCAGGGAGGGCGAGTCGTCTGCGCAGGGAGCGAGAGACGGGGGGGATGCTTCAGCGGACCCTGTTGCAGGAGCAGAGGCAGGGGCGGTAGAGGAGGAGGATGGGTGGCAGGAGGTGACGAGAGGGAAGGGCAAAGGGAAGAAAGGTGGGAGAGGTGGCGGGGAGAAAGGACCGGGGGCAGGAGGGGGAGGTGGAGGAGAAAGGGGAGGAAGGAGAGGGGAGAGAGCGACAGGGGGTGAGGGAGGAAGCAAGGAGGGAGGGGAGGGAAGAAGAGAGGTGGAGGAGGGTGGAGGGCCGTTGGGGGATGGGAGGGAATGCTTGCACATTATGGGCGACAAGACAATCGGTGGGTGCATGGTTGCATGGAACATCATCGCACATCGTAACACATCCTCTCCCTTCCTTAGCCTCTGCCGTCCCCCCTTGCCTCTCCATGCCATACTCACCTCTTTCTTGCTCGCTGTCCCTCCCACCTCATCCCACCCCATCCCACTGCATCCCACCGTGTCCCACCGCATCCCACCGGTCTGTACTACGCAGGAAAGTACTGGAAGGTGTTGGGGGCGCGCATGAGGAAGGAGAGGGGGGCGAGTGTGAACGTGCTGGCGGATAAGAACGCCCCTAACGAGGAAGTGTGGAACCAGGTGCGAGCTCTCTTGCTCCTGTGTTCTCATCCTCGCGTGCTCACTTGCTTTATGTGCTCGTGTGCTCACATGCTCTCATGCTTTCGTGCTCATGTGCTCATGTGCTCATGCTGCGAGCATTTTCTTACTACTTCTGACATCCAGATAGAGCCCATTTGCGGCACAGGGCTGCCGGCATTTAAAACGTCTCACAACTGCATCAGCTCAGGATTTCCCCTCTGTTGCTCTCACCCCATCCTGAAGCCCATGTTTAGCGGCCAGATAGAAGCAACCTGCCACGACACGGGTGTGTTGGGCTTCGAGTCTGTCGAAACTGCATCAACTCAAGTTACCCCCCTGTTTCTCACACTCCATCCACCCTGTTTCTCACACTCCATCCCCCCTGTTTCTCACACTCCATCCCCCCTGTTTCTCACACTCCATCCACCCTGTTTCTCACACTCCATCCCCCCTGTTTCTCACACTCCATCCCCCCTGTTTCTCACACTCCATCCCCCCTGTTTCTCACACTCCATCCCCCCTGTTTCTCACACTCCATCCCCCCTGTTTCTCACACTCCATCCCCCCTGTTTCTCACACTCCATCCCCCCTGTTTCTCACACTCCATCCCCCCTGTTTCTCACACTCCATCCCCCCTGTTTCTCACACTCCATCCCCCCTGTTTCTCACACTCCATCCCCCACCTACGTGTGCCATCCATCCAGATAGAAGCCATGTGCCACGACACAGGGCTGATAGGCGTGCCTGTTGTGCCTGCCTCGCTAGGTGAGCTGTCCGGGGGAGGGTGATAGGGGGTTTTGAGGGAGGAAAGCATGGGTGTGGGCTGGTGGTGGTGGACAGAGTGTGGAGGGAGGAGAGGTGGTGAATTAGGGAGGGCAGACGGAGGTAGAGATTAAGGCTGATGTATCCTGATTTTTTGTTCCTCCCGTTTTGCAAGGTCTGTGCTTGAATTCAACCTTTCAGGGGATGCAAGCACCGTGTTGTCACTTGGCAGAGCCGTCTACCCCATCCCACCCCCCTGCACCGCTCTGCACCGTGCAGGCACACTGCACAATGCCTTCGACTGGCGAGTGCTGGCGGTGTTTCTTTTCCGCGTGATTCAACGCACCAATCATCCCGTGAGATCCCCTCTCCATACCAAACCTCCTCACAAGAACCTTTGTCTATGTCTGTCGTTTAGGCCTGTAGGCTATTCATCAACGAACTCAATTCAACAGGAATTTCCATTCCACCTTGGTATACAACAGACCAAGGTGGGTCAGCATTTACAGTTCCTCCCACGTCCGGCCCTCACCACATCCGTCCCTCTTCCCCGTGGTCACGCGTTTTCTCCCCCCTGCCCCATGTCGTCGCAGGGCGATCTGGATTCAAGCTCGCCAGCACCGGGCCAAGTGGTGCTCAACTTCCATTCGCTCTACGGCAGACATGTCAGTCCCACCCCACCCCATGCTCTGCCTCCCTTTCTTTGCCATGCCATCCAATGCTTTGTCCCGTGTGCTTGGTTCAATGTGTGGTTCATCCACCCACCCTGCCCAGATATCACCTTGCATTCACTCATCTCTCCACCCTCCACCCACGCCCCCCCATGACTGCATCAGAACCGGGAGGATTTTGAGGCGGAACTGAAGCAGCGCTTTGGCGTGCTCGTGACCATGCCTGTAGTCAAGCCTGACTCGTGAGTGTGTGCGGCCATTGGGGAGCATGATCATGCATGACATTGTGATCTTGTGCCTGCGTGATCGCTCTGGGTTTCTGCTTTGTATCCCCTGCACACCCTCCACCACCACCCTCCCTGCAAAGAGCACATCCTGCTGTCGAGTCTGATTTCCATCTCCTCTTTGCACTGCCCCTCTCTTCTCCCTTCTTGCACCAGCCCGCCACTACCAGAAGAGATAGCTGGCGTCATCAAGACGGGGCATAAGCTGCGGGAAAAGATATGGAAAAGACACAAAGGGTGCGTTGCGGGTGTTTGGCAGGGAGGGTGTAAGGCCGGTGTGGCATACGGCAGGAGCACATTCTCTAGGAAGAACTTTTTTTTTGTTGTCTCAAATGTCATGTCCCAGACTCTCTCTTGCTCTTGGTCTTGCTCTCACACTACTGGTCTTCCCAACCCCTCCACTCGTCGTCCCACACATGTTTCGTCTCACAATCCTTACTCTCCTCTCCCGCATCCCCCTCACCCTCTCATCCCTCACATCTCTACCCCTCACACCCTCACCCATCCCCCTGTGGCTACCGCAGCAAGGAGCCTCTGAAAACGCCAATGGCAGAGGAGGTGTTAGAGTGGGAGGGGGAGTTGAGAGCGGTGCTGCACAAGCATGCCCCCTACCTCACTTCCATCCAACTGCCTCTGGACCAAGTGGTCGCTACAGTCCAAAACCAGCTACACCAGATCGCTACAGGACAAATTCGGCCACTGGTCACCGCCAAGACGAGCTTCCGCAGCATCCAACTGGCAGCGGTGGTGATTGATCCAGTTGCTGATGTGGCGCCAGGTGGCGCTGACATGGCGACGAGCGGGCGGCAGTTATTGCAGACGTTGGAAGAGCTGGCACGATCTGATTCTCGCATGGCAGATTTCTGGAAAACAGCGGAAGGCCCTTTGAGAAAGAAATTGGAAGTGGGTGGCGGTGGTGGTGCTGCTGGTGGTGATGGTGGCAGCAGCAGAGGGTTGGGGTGGCTGCATGTGACGCTGGCACACAAGAAGGAGCAGGGCGTGCCGGCAGTGGTGGGGTATGCTCCCATGGAGGGGCGTGCAGTGACGGTGCTGGCAACGGCGCTGCTGTTTGATCAACACGTGGCTGCTCTCGCCGTGGAGCTAAGGGGAGGGAAGGATGGGGAGGCGGTTCGCTCGCTCAATCCGTTTGCGCACGTCACTGTAAGCGGTGTGAGCTCGTGGGGTGTGTGGATGTCTTTTCCTTGTGTTCCTTGTGCACCAATCTCCCCCCAATGTGGTCCCTTCCCTACGCATTCCCTTTCTCGACATTTACTGTTATTTGTGACACCCATGTGAGCAGCTATGGCAAGCGGAGGGGGCCAAGGCCGTGCAATCGTTGGACCTACCCAATGCGGTGGAGCGTGGGGAGGCCACGCGTGTGCCCTTCCCTCGGCCGATAGAGCTTATAGGAACTGTGAAATTGATATGAATATGTAACATATTTCAAATTATGGCACGCTGTTGATGATATAAGCATGTCTTTGGTGCCTAGGGTAAATCGACAGTGCAGGTAAAATATGTTACGTGAATTGGCGAATAGCCTAGAAGTACAGAACTCGTGCACATGAAGCGCGTTTGCTTCCTAACAGCCAATACAGCTTCTACTCGCAGCGTGTCGCGATTGCTCGTACTGCTGTAACCCCACACGTCCCGCTATTCTCGAGCATTATTCCGCCGCTCCCTGCCCTCTATCGATTCTCTTCTAGTACCTCCTCTGGTTCCATCCCTGCCGTGCGCCCACCATTTCTTGCTGGCGCGGCTGAGACCTCTGCTGCTGCGCGCTTCCCGCCACGTTGTGCTGAGCCTTTCCTTGCGCTGAGCTTCCGCCTGTTCCGAGCTTCCGCCTTGCGCGTCCGCGTGCTCCGCGCGCCCGCGGGCATGCAGGGGAATGAGGGCGCGGAGGGACCTTCTGGCGGAGGCGGGGGAGCGGGGCGGGCGAAGGGGAAAGCGGCGGCGGAGGAGTTGGGCGGATCGAAGAAAAAGGCGGGAATCTTCCTGAGAGAACGTGAGTGGGGCGGGGTAGATGGGAGAGAGAGGGCTGTTGAGAGAAAGCGGAAGGGGGATTGAGCTTGCACGTTCCATGCATCTTTCCATCCGGCTGAGGAGTTTAGCGGGTGGACGAAAAAGGCGGGAATCTTTCTGAGAGAATGTGAGTGGGGCGTTGGAGTGTGCGGAGATGGAGTGGGGGGGGAGATGTAGGTTGGGTGAGAAGGAAGAGAGGCGAGAAGGAGTGGGGGTGAGAAGGGTTGGGAGAAAGCGGAAGGGAGTTAATGCTTTTCCGTTTCATGCATCGTTTCATGCCCCCTCACAGTTCACCCCACATGCAGTTTCATTGAGCGTACTAACTCCTTCATGCTGCTCCCACGTGCTCCCATCCACCCATCCAAACCGCTCTGTGTTGCGTCTGCTGTGCGTGCAGTGTGGCTCATCATGTACGGCTTTGGGGATGATCCCGAGGTGAGCCCTGGCTCTGTCGGTGATGGTAGTCCCGAGGTGAACCCCTGTCTGTCAGATTTCACGAGTTCGTGTGCTGTTAGTCATGTCAGTCATGGCAGTCAGGTTCAGCATCAGGTTCTGCATCAGGTTCAGCATCAGGTTCAGCATCAGGTTCAGCATCAGATTCAGCATCAGGTTCAGCATCAGGTTCAGCATCAGGTTCAGCATCAGGTTCAGCATCAGGTTCAGCATCAGGTTCAGCATCAGGTTCAGCATCAGGTTCAGCATCAGGTTCAGCATCAGGTTCAGCATCAGGTTCCGCATCAGGTTCCGCATCAGGTTCCGCATCAGGTTCAGCATCAGGTTCAGCATCAGGTTCAGCATCAGGTTCCGCATCAGGTTCCGCATCAGGTTCAGCATCAGGTTCAGCATCAGATTCAGCATCAGGTTCAGCATCAGGTTCAGCATCAGGTTCAGCATCAGGTTCAGCATCAGGTTCAGCATCAGGTTCAGCATCAGGTTCAGCATCAGGTTCAGCATCAGGTTCAGCATCAGGTTCAGCATCAGGTTCAGCATCACGTTCAGCATCAGGTTCCGCATCAGGTTCCGCATCAGGTTCCGCATCAGGTTCAGCATCAGGTTCAGCATCAGGTTCAGCATCATGTTCCGCATCAGGTTCCGCATCAGGTTCCGCATCAGGTTCCGCATCAGGTTCCGCATCAGGTTCCGCATCAGGTTCCGCATCAGGTTCCACATCAGGTTCCCCATCAGGTTCCCCATCAGGTTCCCCATCAGGTTCCGCATAAGGTTCCGCATCAGGTACCCCATCAGGTTCCGCATCAGGTTCCGCATCAGGTTCCGCATCAGGTTCCCCATCAGGTTCCTCATCAGGTTCCTCATCAGGTTCCGCATCAGGTTCCGCATCAGATTCCGCATCAGGTTCCCCATCAGGTTCCCCATCAGGTTCCCCATCAGGTTCCGCATCAGGTTCCGCATCAGGTTCCGCATCAGGTTCCGCATCACGTCCCCCTTCAGGTTCCGCATCAGGTTCCGCATCAGGTTCCCCATCAGGTTCCCCATCAGGTTCCGCATCAGGTTCCGCATCAGGTTCCGCATCAGGTTCCGCATCAGGTTCAGCATCAGGTTCTGCATCAGGTTCAGCATCAGGTTCAGCATCAGGTTCAGCATCAGGTTCAGCATCAGGTTCAGCATCAGGTTCAGCATCAGGTTCAGCATCAGGTTCAGCATCAGGTTCAGCATCAGGTTCAGCATCAGGTTCAGCATCAGGTTCAGCATCAGGTTCAGCATCACGTTCAGCATCAGGTTCCGCATCAGGTTCCGCATCAGGTTCCGCATCAGGTTCAGCATCAGGTTCAGCATCAGGTTCAGCATCATGTTCCGCATCAGGTTCCGCATCAGGTTCCGCATCAGGTTCCGCATCAGGTTCCGCATCAGGTTCCGCATCAGGTTCCGCATCAGGTTCCGCATCAGGTTCCCCATCAGCTTCCCCATCAGGTTCCCCATCAGGTTCCGCATAAGGTTCCGCATCAGGTTCCCCATCAGGTTCCGCATCAGGTTCCGCATCAGGTTCCGCATCAGGTTCCCCATCAGGTTCCTCATCAGGTTCCTCATCAGGTTCCGCATCAGGTTCCGCATCAGGTTCCGCATCAGGTTCCCCATCAGGTTCCCCATCAGGTTCCCCATCAGGTTCCGCATCAGGTTCCGCATCAGGTTCCGCATCAGGTTCCGCATCACGTCCCCCTTCAGGTTCCGCATCAGGTTCCGCATCAGGTTCCCCATCAGGTTCCCCATCAGGTTCCGCATCAGGTTCCGCATCAGGTTCCGCATCAGGTTCCGCATCAGGTTCAGCATCAGGTTCAGCATCAGGTTCAGCATCAGGTTCAGCATCAGGTTCAGCATCAGGTTCAGCATCAGGTTCAGCATCAGGTTCAGCATCAGGTTCAGCATCAGGTTCAGCATCAGGTTCAGCATCAGGTTCAGCATCAGGTTCAGCATCAGGTTCAGCATCAGGTTCAGCATCAGGTTCAGCATCAGGTTCAGGATCAGATTTCAGCATCAGGTTCAGCATCAGGTTCAGCATCAGGTTCAGCATCAGGTTCCGCATCAGGTTCCGCATCAGGTTCCGCATCAGGTTCCGCATCAGGTTCCGCATCAGGTTCCGCATCAGGTTCCGCATCAGGTTCAGTTCCCATCAGGTTCCCCATCAGGTTCCCCATCAGGTTCCCCATCAGGTTCCCCATCAGGTTCCCCATCAGGTTCCCCATCAGGTTCCCCATCAGGTTCCCCATCAGGTTCCCCATCAGGTTCCCCATCAGGTTCCCCATCAGGTTCCCCATCAGGTTCCCCATCAGGTTCCCCATCAGGTTCCCCATCAGGTTCCCCATCAGGTTCCCCATCAGGTTCCCCATCAGGTTCCCCATCAGGTTCCCCATCAGGTTCCCCATCAGGTTCCGCATCAGGTTCCGCATCAGGTTCCGCATCAGGTTCCGCATCAGGTTCCGCATCAGGTTCCGCATCAGGTTCCGCATCAGGTTCCGCATCAGGTTCCGCATCAGGTTCCGCATCAGGTTCCGCATCAGGTTCCGCATCAGGTTCCGCATCAGGTTCCGCATCAGGTTCCGCATCAGGTTCCCCATCAGGTTCCCATCAGGTTCCCCATCAGGTTCCCCATCAGGTTCCCCATCAGGTTCCCCATCAGGTTCCCCATCAGGTTCCCCATCAGGTTCCCCATCAGGTTCCCCATCAGGTTCCCCATCAGGTTCCCCATCAGGTTCCCCATCAGGTTCCCCATCAGGTTCCCCATCAGGTTCCTCATCAGGTTCCTCATCAGGTTCCGCATCAGGTTCCGCATCAGGTTCCGCATCAGGTTCCCCATCAGGTTCCCCATCAGGTTCCCCATCAGGTTCCCCATCAGGTTCCGCATCAGGTTCCGCATCAGGTTCCGCATCACGTCCCCCTTCAGGTTCCGCATCAGGTTCCGCATCAGGTTCCCCATCAGGTTCCGCATCAGGTTCCGCATCAGGTTCCGCATCAGGTTCCGCATCAGGTTCCGCATCAGGTTCAGCATCAGGTTCAGCATCAGGTTCAGCATCAGGTTCAGCATCAGGTTCCGCATCAGGTTCCGCATCAGGTTCCGCATCAGGTTCCGCATCAGGTTCCGCATCAGGTTCCGCATCAGGTTCCGCATCAGGTTCAGCATCAGGTTCCCCATCAGGTTCCCCATCAGGTTCCCCATCAGGTTCCCCATCAGGTTCCCCATCAGGTTCCCCATCAGGTTCCCCATCAGGTTCCCCTTCAGGTTCCCCATCAGGTTCCCCATCAGGTTCCCCATCAGGTTCCCCATCAGGTTCCCCATCAGGTTCCCCATCAGGTTCCCCATCAGGTTCCCCATCAGGTTCCCCATCAGGTTCCCCATCAGGTTCCCCATCAGGTTCCTCATCAGGTTCCTCATCAGGTTCCGCATCAGGTTCCGCATCAGGTTCCGCATCAGGTTCCCCATCAGGTTCCCCATCAGGTTCCCCATCAGGTTCCCCATCAGGTTCCGCATCAGGTTCCGCATCAGGTTCCGCATCACGTCCCCCTTCAGGTTCCGCATCAGGTTCCGCATCAGGTTCCCCATCAGGTTCCCCATCAGGTTCCGCATCAGGTTCCGCATCAGGTTCCGCATCAGGTTCCGCATCAGGTTCAGCATCAGGTTCTGCATCAGGTTCAGCATCAGGTTCAGCATCAGGTTCCGCATCAGGTTCCGCATCAGGTTCAGCATCAGGTTCAGCATCAGGTTCAGCATCAGGTTCCGCATCAGGTTCCGCATCAGGTTCAGCATCAGGTTCAGCATCAGATTCAGCATCAGGTTCAGCATCAGGTTCAGCATCAGGTTCAGCATCAGGTTCAGCATCAGGTTCAGCATCAGGTTCAGCATCAGGTTCAGCATCAGGTTCAGCATCAGGTTCAGCATCAGGTTCAGCATCAGGTTCAGCATCACGTTCAGCATCAGGTTCCGCATCAGGTTCCGCATCAGGTTCAGCATCAGGTTCAGCATCATGTTCCGCATCAGGTTCCGCATCAGGTTCCGCATCAGGTTCCGCATCAGGTTCCGCATCAGGTTCCGCATCAGGTTCCGCATCAGGTTCCGCATCAGGTTCCCCATCAGGTTCCCCATCAGGTTCCCCATCAGGTTCCGCATAAGGTTCCGCATCAGGTACCCCATCAGGTTCCGCATCAGGTTCCGCATCAGGTTCCGCATCAGGTTCCCCATCAGGTTCCTCATCAGGTTCCTCATCAGGTTCCGCATCAGGTTCCGCATCAGGTTCCGCATCAGGTTCCCCATCAGGTTCCCCATCAGGTTCCCCATCAGGTTCCGCATCAGGTTCCGCATCAGGTTCCGCATCAGGTTCCGCATCACGTCCCCCTTCAGGTTCCGCATCAGGTTCCGCATCAGGTTCCCCATCAGGTTCCCCATCAGGTTCCGCATCAGGTTCCGCATCAGGTTCCGCATCAGGTTCCGCATCAGGTTCAGCATCAGGTTCTGCATCAGGTTCAGCATCAGGTTCAGCATCAGGTTCAGCATCAGGTTCAGCATCAGGTTCAGCATCAGGTTCAGCATCAGGTTC